CACATAAGAGAATTGGAGAGCGAGAGAGAGAGAGAGCAGAACTCTTGTGCCCAGACAAACCTTGTTGTTGCCTAGTGCTGCGTGACCGCATGTTCAGTTGATGGAGATCAAGCAGCTGCAGCACTGAAAAGCTCAAAACCAGCTGTCTTCAACCACATCCGACGGCTAATGCATGCTGACCTGCCGAAGCAACCACAACAGCCCAAGCTAGATGACACCTAGTTCACCCAGCTTAGCACACAACAACATACAACAACCTGATAGAGCATTTGCGGATGGATCCGATGATTCTTTGACTTTGCAGAGTTCTTCAAGCTGCAGCTTGGTCCCAACTATATGAACTATAGTCTAAACTCCTTAAAAGGGGGTTATATAGGGAGTTATATAGGGCTACTATGGGGTCACTAAGGGGGATACTAGGAGTTTAGACTATAGCTCATATGGGGGATTTCCCAAAATTCCATGTAAATCGGGTCCCTAGAGTGGGAGTTCCTATTGTAATACAGGTCACTATACACAGTTCATCCATTTTGGGTACAATTATTGAACCCAAGTCCTATCCGTCTTTCTCAGCTGTCTTGCTGCTTTGAGGATCTATCTTAAAGAGCCACTGTGCTACATGAGACGGACAAAACGAAGGGAGATGTGTTGTTGGCCCCAGCTTGATCCAAACTGCCGTGTCTCAGGACGGCTGAGGGACCATGGCGTCAGCAAAGTCTTCGGAGGACTTCATGTGCAGACTGCTGTCGAGCATGCACACTCACAGCAAACCAGATGTAAAACATTGCAGTTACAGCAGAATCATGTTACATCTCAACTTCTAACAGTAGGTTTATTGTACTTTGGGCCCGGGAATCACTTAGCCTTCCTGCTCAGAGTTTTGGGGCTGCATCAGACGTGTGAGATTCTGACTTGGTTGGGGACCCCCCGTGAAGACATGTCAACTTTGTGGAGTGGAACGCATAGAGGATTTCAACAGACGACGGTCAGGGAGGGCTGGGGTAGTATTGGGGATATAGGGGTTATATTGTGCTTATAATGGGAGAATGGAAAACAAGATGGAAACTACTATTTAGGGGAATTCTTGCTGAAGATTTAGCAGGCGTCCCTCTCAATGATCCGCTTGTCATCCCAATCTAACTTGAGCATGACAGAAGAACATATGACAACTTCAGACATATCATGAGGATGACGTTGCTGTGAGTGCGGGTAAGGCTTTGCGCAAAGGGGAAAACAGCACCAAAGAGTCAAACGACGGTATATATTGTAGTATATTCTAGTATGCCATAGTAAACTATGGTATATTATATGTAGTAGATTATTTGCCGTATATCATGGTAATATGTGTATAGAGTAGATTATAGTATACGAGGTCTCAGGAATGTGGCTTCCAGGAGTTTATTGCTTGGGAAGATATCCGCAAAACAACGGACGAAAAAGGATGGGCATCAAGTGGCCGAGGGATCCGAGATACACAGTTTGCATCAGCTTGCCAAACGTTCCTTGCCATATTCTTTCTCCTGGGCATACAGAATTTTAACACTTTCCTAGATTTGGGGCATCCAACCCACCGTGAGAATCCCTGACTTGGCTTAGCCTCCCGCCGGGCTTGTGGCGAACCAATGCAGCTGCAGTGCGAGACTTTGGAGTCAGGTAAGATACTATGTTTCGCAGGCAAGCCCTGTATACCCCCTGTGTGCCTCTGCAAAGAGGTGCAACGACCCCGAATGGCCCCAGGGTCACACAAAGTAGTCCTGCAGCAGGATGCGCCAGAAAAGACGCAGGAGCCAGGTGGGGAGCGGGCTTGCTGGCTCCACAGGTTGAATTTGCTGACTGGTTTTTAGTAGGGAATACGGGAATACAATCCCTACAAAATCCCTATATACTATGTTCCAATATATTCCTATATTCCCTACTAAGAACCAGTAAGTTTGAGGCTTGGATCTAAGGCTGCCACTTCTGGGTTTGGCGGGAGTCGTCCTAGCAACCAATCTGTTCTTCAGGTTCCATCCTAGTTTGAGTTGTTCTATCCGTTCTTGCGTTCCTTAGATGCTGAGGCCCCAAAGAGTTTCCGAAGGTGCTGTGACAGCACCCCACCACAAGATCTTGCGACATGTCTTCTACAGCTGGCTTCAAGACCCTGAGTCAGTGTCGATACCCTGAACTGAGCTTAGGGTTTAGGGCCTAGGGTGCAGCAAAGCTGAAAAGGAATGCAGCAGCATCTTTGCAAGGCTCCGCCCAGTGCAAGACGGTTGCTTGAACACATATTTCCAGCAAGTCACCCCTTGATCAGATGCTGCTGTCCTGCAAGCCTTCCCTACACCCTCAACACTCCCCTAGTCTAGGTACCGCAGCAGTACTCTTTCTCCCTTTTCATTTTGGGTTCTCCTTTCTAAAGCTGAACATTAGGGAAAAGGGTATCCTTATTATCAAGGGGTCACTGGGGAACCTACTACTGGGAAGGTGAAGGTTCTATTGGGGACCAGGTATCCTCAAGTGGGGGAGAGTGGAGGTCCGGGCTACTCATAACCTACTTAGTACCGGTTCTTCTAACCCTAAACCCTTAACCGCATACGTCTCGTAACAGTACTTATTGGACCTAATAGCTGGCCTGTAACTACAGACTAATTTACCCCGGAACTAAAAGTAGACCAAGACCTTCAACTGCAGAACCCGATCAACCTCTACATAAACCCAGTCTCCATTGCATAGTCCATTTTTCTTGTCCCTCATCCCTACGTAATGCCTATATGAGCTCTAGTTAGTCTAAGGTCCTTAAAGGGGCTTATGCAGGGGATTATATGGGACCACTAGAGGGGTTACTAAGGGAGATACTAGGAATTTAGACTATAGCTATTCTCAAGATTATGCGCCCCTGCTGGTTCTGGATTCTAGAACGGCACCTAATACTTCGGGGTACCAAAATAGGACACTAATTTTGGCATCTACCCATAAAACCTTTGCAAGGGAAGTACTCTAAACCCCAACTGTAGACATGCTCCCAACCCTAAACCCTACAAATCCTAAACCTCTAAGCCCTAAACCCTATAAACACTAAACCCCTCAACCCTATAAACCCTGAACCCTACAGGTAGACTTTTTTGGGAAAGTCCTTCCAAGCACTAGGCGCCAGCGAGCCGGCCGCCACGTCTTGCGCCTTACTTTGGCCTGACTTGGAAACATGCATTAGGGTTTAGGGTTTGGGTTTTGAAGCGAGGGGTTCGGGATTAGTTTTAACGTTAAAGGTATTGAGTTTACGGGTCAAGCTTGCTCAAATCAAAAACGATATGGTTTTTCCTTGTCTTGTGCCCTTGAGACTTGTGTTTTCCTGGCGCTCTTACGACTTTTCATTTGCTCATGAGACCTGGTGAGAAGTTATAGGTCTGCTACGAACAAGGATGGGGGTAATTTTCTCGATATACATAGGCTTCAAGTTTCAAGGCTCCTGGGTCTTTGGACGAGAGATTTTGCAGTTTAAAAGCTGTTCCTGTGCAATGATTGAGGGTGAACCCTATAATCGCCTCAGAATACCTATATTAAGGATTTTCCATAAATCCTAAACCCGAAACACACATTGAGAAGCTCCCATATTTCATGATGGAAGAAGGAAGTCCATTCGAGCAGGCTTCAGAATCCAGGTCCTGGCTGTGTTCTGGCCACTTCCGTGGAGATGAAAGTAGATGAAAGTGTTTAGGGTTCACAAGGGTTTAGGGGCCTGCAGTCTGCATGTAGGTGCCCCTGTTTGTTTGGAAGTGCTGATTTGTTGTTTTGTTGGGCTTTCTGAACAACATACCGTGGTGTCTCTGAAGGTTTCCCACAAGCGGCCCCGAATATAAGCCCCAACATACCATCATCCTGTTCATATGACCTCCCAAAACATGGTTCAACAAAATTGCAAATCCTAAGCCCTAAGGCCTAAACCCCAAACCCTATACCCTAAACCCTAGATCTTGCAATGCAGCGCGTGGCTTGGCAGTCTTGTTTGGGTTTCGTATTGGTAGATGTCAGGCCTGGGCCCTGCCTGTCCTTCCTTTGTTAGAGTTTAGGGCTTAGGGTTTAGGACTTAGGGCTTAGGGTTTAGGATTGGGACTACATGTTTTAATTCATAGGGCATGCTCCAAAAATGTAGGATATTCAGAGTCCAGTTAGGGCTTAGGATATGCGAGTTGACTTGGTAGTTCTGCTCGGAATCTGTTGTTTCGCCTAGCGGTAGCTCCTAGATGAGTTGCTAATCTGGAGCAAAACGGGTCACTCATAAGATTCCTTCACGATTTTTGCCCTATATGTATATATAGATATATATATATATAGATAGGGGTGGTTGTCAAAATTATGGTCCCTTTTGGGGTACCCTAAAAATTCGGTGCCGTATTATAATAGGGATCCAAAAGGGACCATAATTCTGACAACCACCCATATATATATATATACCTACAGATTAATCCCTCCTGGAATTGCCATAAGTAACATACTATGATGTCCCTTTTTTGACACCGACCGTCCCCTAACCCTGAGCCCCAGACCCCATTCAAGCAATCCTAGCCCTCAATCCTTGACCCTATTCAAAGCCCACATGAACCCTAAACCTCATATTATAAGCTTCAACATCTTATGAACTATTAAAGGCCATTAGCACTGTGGATACTAAACCTCCTGCATGACCCTCAGTACCTTGTGCCTTGGTATACTACGGTCATGCAGGATTTTTGATATCCACAGTGATTATGGTCCTGAGTTCTTTGGATAGTCCTGGCAGAAGTTACCTCGAGAAAATCGAAATGAGCTGGCTCAACTCCCTCAAAGGGGTGTTATATAAGGGATTATTATATAGCTGACTTCTATGGGGATTATTAAGGGGGATGCTAGGAGTCTAGACTACGGCTCCACTGATAATTTCGGTTCCCTAAACCCTAAACCTAAACCCTAAACCTCCTTCCATCGCAAACCTCGAACTGCTGTGGCCATCGCGCAGTTCGCCCCCGGCTCCTCGCAACGACTACATGGCTTTCCGAGAGATGCTGAAGCCTGGGGCCCCGGATGCTAGGGGGTTTTGGGTTTAGGGTTTGGAATTTAGGGTTTGGATTTAATTAGGGGTTTGGGTTTAGGGCTTAACTTGGATGATCTTTTGACTTAGTAAGTCTACCTATTACATCCAATAACCCCAATTCTAAGCCCCATAACCCCTGTTTCTAGGTAGACTTACTACGTCAAGAGGTCCTCCAAATAGGGGGTTTTGGGTTTCAGGGTTTAGGATTTGATGACTGAGTTGCTGTTAAGGAACAGACATGAAGTTAGTTTTGTAAGGAATCCTTATTTTGCGATATATATAGTGCACATAGTATGGAAAACTCATGTATAGCTTCCTTGCATCATTCTAGTAAAAGATACCCCGAATAGACCTCAATATGATATTGATACTTGTAATTATTCAGGCACCTGCAGTCCCAATGTTTGGTTTGCTTGGGGGTGCAGGAATGGATCCGTCGAGTACTGCTTTCATTCCATCTCATGACAATTGTCCCTGAATCCTTTTCCGACATGCACTACTGGTGCGAGTACAGTTGGGTGTTGAGAGTCCCTAAACCCGAAACCCTAAACCCTAAACCCTAGACCATAAACCCTAAAGGATAACTCAGGGATGGGCAGCAAAAGTGTCGGCCTTGGGGTTCGGGCGAGTCAGGCCGCGGGGGTCTCTTTGACCAACCGGCGGTGTGAATTTCTCGCTTAAGTCAGGGCACTAACGTAAAGGGCTGCTTGGATATGGCATCTTGTTCTGCGGCCCAGTTGTCCAGTTGATATAGGCATGGAGGGGCAGACCCAATGTGCATTCGGACAATTTTGGAGAACATGGTGGCTTGGGCATTGCGCATGGCCTAATCTGGCAGGGTGTGTGACTGAGCTTTGGGTGCAAGGTTGTAAGTCCTGCCGAAACCCCACTCGAATATGGGCACGAGCCAAAGCTTTGTTGCGCCCATAGAGAGAGAAGACATCAAGCACTATGGAGGTAGATATAAACTCATGATGCCCTCAAACGCCCCTCAAATACAAGGATCCTCTTGGAATCTCAGCCAAGGGGACCGAGCATGCGAGTTGCCTTGTAGCAAAACCCCGCCTACAGTCACATCATCCCAAAATGCCAGTGAAAGACCCCTTACATAGCTTTACATGAACTCCCCACCTGGAAGCATCTTTCATACTGAGGCACGAGTCGGCAATTCCCCTGACAGCGCGGTTGCAGGTGGATGTAGCATTCAGATTAGTAATAGTATACACCTGTATCCGCACTTGCATGAAGATTAAACAAGATTCGAAGTACTGGTTCTTAGTCGGGACTGAGTCCAGATAATCCCCATGTAAGTATTTCCTGTGTTCTCTTAACAAGCCCTGGTAAGACCACTGGTATTAATATTGCAGCCAGAGTTGGGGGAATGGACTGCAGGTCGTGTTTGCTGGTTGGCCCAGGTGTCCAGGTGAAAGCCGTTGAACCCTTTATCCGAAACCCTACAACTTACTGGGTCTTAGTGGGGAATTAGGGGATAAAGATGATCCCCCTATGATCCCTATAATATGTTCCCCTATTCTCTACTAAGCCCGAGTAAGAAGATGTTATAGAGCATGCATGGTGCGTGCACGATACACCCCAGGAGGTTCCTCGAAATGTGGACCCTGGGACCCTTTGAACGTAGTATGCGGATTACAAGGAGACTACAGATGTCCTCCTTAAGGATTATGCAGCTAGTATTTCAAGTACCATATAATGATCAAATGAGCGACGAACCTGTGTGAGCACCACAAGATCTCCCTAGACCTGGAGGACTTTGTCAAGAAGTTTCCGACCCAAGGCCGGCCACTCAGCATGGCCTTGGAAGTTGCAAGCCATCTCAAGCGTGAAGCTCATAACTTGGAAGCCCCAATTAAATCAAGAACTCCTAAAAAGGCTCCACATATCGGTGAAGATGGTTGCTCCTAGTAGCAGGCGTCGTCGTCGAGGGCGGCGTCTGGTCGTTGCAGCAGCATCATCAGAGACGTCTTCTGATACTCATTAGGTTTGCTGCCATTTCTGTGCCTTGTTTGCTATTATTGATGTCCGCTGTGCGCTGGCAAAGTGCTCCAGGCCTGTCACGAGAGCAAGCGGCTGATCGCATCCACAAATTCCTTTCCGCCACCCAGGACTCACCCCTTGCATTGCCTCGCTTGGGCTAGTTTCTCAAAATGCGGCCCCTGAAAACCTGAGGCATATATGATAGCTATCAGGGATTGCATAGGCGGTATTTTGGGACGAAAGTGGCAGCACTTGTCGCCTCGTGTATCTTGTTTGACAGGAGACCCAAACTCTTCCCTGCTCCCATACCTTGCAGCTATGAGTCCCCCGGGTAAACACTGGTTGGCAAGTCTCTGATGGGACGTTGTCAGGCACTGCTACCTACCCTGAGAGCTTTCTTTGCACCCGTTCAGCAGGAGCCTCTATGCAACCCTGGAGTGTGTTGCAGCTGGAAGCGGTTCCTGTTAAATGCCCCAGTCATGTCTGGAAGTTTTGCTACGAGACCTTAAAACGAGACCAGAAACCATGGGCCTGAAGCTATAGACTCCCCGTTTCTGGTGCCGGGTGTACCAAGCAGCTCTGAGTAGCTGTAAGCGTCCATGACTGAACTTGTGAGTGCTTGCTAGCTGTGTCCCTGAATAGTTGTATGAGGTTTGATTTGCCAAAAGTCAGAGGCCCTTTTTTGGAAGTTCTTGCGGCAAGGATTGCTGTATATTGGTTTGTATTGGGCCGCGCATTCATGGAAGCCCTCAAATGCATGCCTCTTCTCTCTTGTATCATGGGTTCCCTTACTACCCCCCCCCCCACTTTACTACCCCCTCCCCCTAGGTTTCCCGTAATTAACCGTAATAAGGCGTAATTGTCCCTAAAGAAGCTTGATTCAGGGCAAGACCTAGGGGGACAGTATAGAGGGGGGGGGGGTGTAAGAGAACCCATGATTGTTGTCACTTGCGTTGATGTTGGCTGCTGCTGAGAGGCGTTTTTGGTGCTAGCAGCCCGCGGCCATCATCATCATCATCATCATCATCATTGTCATTCTTGCTGTTGTTGTTTTCTTCATCCCACTCCTTTCTTTGTTTCGTTATTGTAGTATATTAATGTGTTTACAACTAACTTTGTCATCACTATGGTGCCCTAAACCCGAAACAGCATCATCACGACTGTGCTCACCAGGTGCGCATGGAGGTTGGGGAAGCCTGAGCACGTGACGTGGCACTTGCTTTGCCAGTGGAGCCGCTGTACAGCGAAGGCGTGAGTCAGAGCTTACAGTGTTCAGGGTAGGGTTTAGGATTTTGGGTTTAAGTTTTAGGGCTTAGGGCTCAAGGTTATGGGTTTTGGGTTTACCCATACAGGGTATATGTAGGGACATGAATAGTGGAGAATCAGCTGGAAACGGACATAATCGACAACAGGATGAAAGCTGGGTTAAGGGCGGGCTGACAGGGATTGCAATGTACGGACCTAGATACTATGAATGACGTCTTTGGGTTTATATTTGGTACTGCCACTCGGTAATAGTTGGACAATATTTATAATATACTTACATATAGCCCTTAATATGACCCCTAGTATAGACTGCTACTGGGTGGGGGCCGTACCCAGGGTTTATACCCTACACCCTAAACGCTCAGGCTTTGAAAGGGGAATGATAGTGGCAATCATTCGGACTTCTACAGTATTCAAGGTCAAGTCTGGAAGGAGCATATGAGCTACTGTCTAAACTCCTTGAAGGGGATTATATAGGGGGTTATATATGGGACTACTATAGGGGTTATTAAGGGGGAAACTAGGAGTTTAGACTATAGCTCATATACAGGGGTTCCCAAGATTCATGGATTTAGGGATTAGGGTTTTGAGGGTTCAGGGATTAGGGATTTGGGTTTAGGGTTTAGGTTTAGGCAAAAGGGTTTCGGGTACAGGGTTTAGGGTTATATGGAGGTTTTTCCAAGATTTGGGGTACATTTCTGTTGGTCCCCACTTCAAGGAGTGTAGTATTTGGGGGTCTATGTTGGGGTCCCTCTATTCAGGAAAACTACAATATGGTATGATTCTGAAAGTAGTACAGCCGTTTGATCTCCAGCGTACTTAATACGCCTCAGATGGCCCGAAAAGCTCTGAATTTCTTCTTCGAACCACGGAGCAGCAGCCACCAGAAAAAAAGAAAAAACAACTGTCCAGGGCTGCGATACTTCCTCAGTCTCCCACGGAAGGGTGGTTGGCAACCATGTGCGTTCCCGTTCCTTTTTTTCTTTTTGGAAATTTAGCTTTCTTTTCGGAGGGTCTAGATAGAAATGGGTGGGGGGGGGGCGATGAAGATTGGCTTAAAGAACCCTAGACCTTAACAAGCCGGGTTGCTGTGAACTTAGATGCAGTTACTTTATTTAGGAAACCCGCATTATTTTCTATAGAAGCATCTTATGGTAGCTGCTTCAAGTTCCTTAACAGCAACCCAGTACTTGGAGGGTCAGGGGGGCTTAGTAAGTAGGTTAATTACCTTCATAACCCATATTGTAACCCTAGGTATCCCCATTATTCAGCTACTTACTAAGTCCCCCTGACCCTCCAAGTAAAGGTTACCCTGATCCCTAGAACCCCCACTATGACCTGCATGCATAAGGTAGAAGAAGGGGCTTAGGGTTTAGGTTTTAGGGTTTAGGGTTTCGGGTTTTACGGTAGGGTTTAAGGTTTTAGGGTTTAGGGTTCAGGATTTACTGCGAGGTCCAGGGTTCATTTGTAGTCTCCTTAGGAATTGTTTTCAATGCTGATTACAGTATCATCCTAAGGATTTATTAGGCAAACGTTTTATGCTATAGGTCTAATGGGGCTACAGATATATGCATGGGCTTTTGGAAGGAGGATCGCGACAATCATAACCTAGCTGGGGCTTTCAACCTGACTTCTCACTACCCACGATCACAACATCTTCCTTGCCTACCCATATCCCCAAATAGTCCACATGCCCTACACCCCAAATTCTCCACGTGAGCCATACGCACTTCTCATACCACAGCCCAGAAGCCGAAACCGCATGGTTTTGGGCAGAGCCATACAAATCCCGTGATTGAACATGGTTGCACCGTTCTTGCCAGCTGTCTGGCTTGAGCCTAGCAATGGCATGGTTCTGGCATGAGGGATAACAAAGACGTTCAGGGTGTAGGTTGGAGGGTTCCCATACACAATAGGTGCCACAACAGATTCCTGCCACCCCTCAAAAATGCAATGCTAGTGCGGTGGGCGAATTCTTCTCATTAGCGTGCACTACGTCTTTGCCCTCAAGCAGTCAACTTCACGAAATATGGAAAAAAGCTGCAGTTTTTTGTTACATCAGCCTCGTACTAAGCTTGCCAGGCCTGCTTGAGCGCCAGCCGAAGACCAGATCTTAACCTCACGTTCTGGGATCAAGAGGTGTAATTACTACATAGGCTTGTATCTTTACCAGTATTTTTTTACTAGACTGCTTGTTTGATAGAACTCCAGATTGAATTGGTGATTATTAGGCTGCTGGAGTTTATAGTATTCTGGGCGGGCCACACAACAATTGTAAAGGGACTTTATTGGGAACCCCAAACAGGGAACCCCAAGAACATAGTAGGAACATAATGGGAATATACCTACCAATGCCCTTTCATTCAATTACATTCTTACTACATTCTTGGGGTTCCCTGTTTGGGGTTCCCAATAAAGTCCCTTTGACAACAACTGCAGACGGCCGCAGATCAACGCAGCCCCGCGTGCACGATGGTGTTCTGCAGATCTCACCTAAGCATGCAAATGGCAGCAGCTACCTGGCCTGAAAGTGGAGTGCAAGCGTACGTGAGCTATAGTCTAAACTCCTTAAAGGGGGTTGTATAGGGGATTATATAACCTCCTGAAAGGGGGGTTATGTAGGGTCTAGGGTTTAGGGTTTAAACTCCTGAAAGCGATTATATAGGGTACAGTAGTATGATAGGGGTTATTAAGGGGGATACTAGAAGTTTGGACTCTGGTTCACATGCCAAGTAATGGAAGGAGCAACAACAAGCGTAACAGTATCAGAAGCCATACTCCTTCTACTGAGAGCAGTGGAAAGCTGTAACAACATTCAACAAGAGTCACCGTAAACCTTTAACCCTAAACCCGAAACCCTAAACCATGAACCGTAGCCTTACATACTGAACTCCTTCAACCCAAACACCCAAATCCTCAGGCGCTGAATTCCTAACACCCTCAAACCCTAAGCCATAAAAGAAAAAAAAGCCCTACAACACTGAGACCCTAATCCCTAAGACCAAAAACCCAAAACCCTAACATTCTGAGACCCAAAACCCCAAGCATCCGAACATCGGCTTTCATGGGCCACGCTGAGGCAGGTTTGATGTTTTCGGAGTTTTGTTACCTCTAACTTAACCCCATAACATTTGATTTTCTTAGGGTCCCCAAACCCTAAACCCCAAACCCCCAAATACCTAAACCCTAAATTCCTAAATTCCTAAACCCTAACCCCAAATCCTAAACCCTAATTCCTAAACCCTAACCCTAAATCCTAAACCCTAAACCCTCGACCCTAAACTCCTAAACCCCTCAACCCTAAACCCTAACTCCTAATGGGGTTTGT